TTACTTCATAAAGTATGTGAGCTGGTCAGAAATTATAAGAATGTTTTTTTAAAAATTTAGTGTATAGAAAGTACTTTTTAGATGTAATTTTACAATGTGTGTATTGTTATTTTATTTAATTAGAACATTTCATTTTAATTGGATAACCTTATATAAGCTGTTTTCTTTAGTTATTGTTCCTTTCACTTTTTATAATTGACATAAATGGGTTTATTTATTGGGTCAATTTGTTCAGGTAAGTACTGGGAAAACGTTAGAAGTCATAGGGGTGTTTTGATATATAATTGTAGTGAACAAACACAAGAAAGTGCTGGGTGTATAACAGTTGGTCCAGAACTAGCCATAAATATTCCTGTAGTTAGCTTGTAGCTCCAAGTAAGAGACCGAAAATATTTATGGTGAAGAAATGGCATTAATTGTGTATGTGGAGAGGACATATGTTTCCAGGCTGCAAAACTGACTTATTCTGAATTTAAAGAGGATTTATGTTTTTATTTTCTGATCATCTTCAGTTTTGTGATGTCTTCATGTGTTTATCCCCAGCTATGTATGCCTCACAGGTGTTCTTTTTCTTTGTGTTAAGGCTACATTTTCCTCACTGTTCTCTTCATGCTATGTAATTTATAATGGACTTTCTAGGTTCCGATGAGAGGACTGGAATTTATTTTTATTTTTTAAATTTTATTTATTTATTTATTTATTTTTACAGACGGGGTTTCACCATGTTGGTCACGCTGGTCTTGAATCCCTGACCTTGTGATCCGCCCACCTCAGCCTCCCAAAGTGCTGGGATTACAGAAGATTGGAATTTTTAATGTGGTAAATTATTGTTTTTAACTGGGGTGTTTGAGATTATTTATAGCTTATCAATGCAACATTCAGATCACTTAACTGAGATAAAAGTAATTCATTGTCCACAGGTAAGAAGATTAAGTCAACATTGTTTCTCTTTTTTTTTTGTAAAGAGAAAAATTGTACGAGATTCTAACACAGAGTGTATTAAATGTAATATAAGTCAGAATAGGTAAAGCATTAATATAAGTGGGTTGCATATTGTAAGCGCCATATGAAGAAATACATTACAATTTTGAAATCTCATAAGATAACATACATCTTAGAAATAAACTTTTTAAGAGACTTAATGGTATGTGAAGAATTTTAAATATAATTTTCTATGGCATAGCAACTTTTTTTTTAGCGCTGAATCTTCTTTTTTTGAATGTAAATGTTAAATGTTGGAAAAACAGTGATCTCTGTAGACTCAGAATCTGCAATGATCTTTTTTGTGGAGATTCATATTACAATCTTGAGGCATGTGTTACAATTTTTTTTTTTTGTTTTAGTGGATGCAGTTCATGGGATACAGTTTTCATTTTTAGTCAACTAACTTTATCCAAGTCCCTTGGTCACCTTCTCTGGAAAAAAAATTCGGAGATTATGGCAGTTATTGAATTCAAATATTCATTAGTTACATTAATATAACTTAGCATATACATTTTAATTTGTACCAAATACTAACCTTAACACTTTATATGTGTTAATTTTCACAGAAAATAGCTAGCATAGTTATTATCCGTATTTTACAGAGGGACGAACAGAAAAAAATGACTTCCTCACAACAGCAGAACCAGTACTAAAACACAGGCAACTTTGACTCCAGAGATAACACTTTTAACTATTACAGTAAACACTCTCTTCAAATAGAAAATACATTATTATCTTCACCTATTTTTAATAAATGAAAACCAAATAAATTACATTTCTTATATATGTATGTGTAAATGTATACATTATAATACAGAAAAGAGAAATAATTCCTCAATTTAAGCCATAAAAACTCTAGAAATTGCTCTTTGATCCTGACGTTTGGGAACAGTTTTCTTTTCAACTGTGCTTTCTCACCTCTCCAGCAATTCAGAATACTTATAGCATATTTTTTTTACCAAGAACTAGTCAGCAAATGCTGTATTATTTACTAGAAACACATCTAATATACTGTGATTTTATTACCTTTTTAAGTGCAAAATTACTGAATCAAATAATTATTTCACTCTATATGAGTTTCCTTTGTGCCTGTTTCTCAGTTTTGCCTAAATACTACCAGTTGTCTTACAGTTGGTCCCCAAATAGTTGTTTATAAAACTTTAAATTATCTCCGGGAACCTCATCTCAGCAGTCAAAACTCAGAGCCCTAGAACTAAGAAAGGATGAAAAAGTTACTATTAATACAAACTTCTATGCCTTTTAGAAAAGACTCTATGCATATGCAGCCATCTGGAAAGAGGATTTTGACAGCAAAGGATACCCCTATTAAATCAGCAGGAAGTAGCCAGAAAGAGTCATCACCCAAACCCCCTAACAGCAGTTAGGGTGACTTCTCCACAGGGGTGAATTTTGCAGGAGTTAAGAAATTTATAATTTCATTTATGTGAGATATTTTTAGTCGCTCATGAAAACAAAATACAATGGTGTTTGTCAAGAGCCTGGGAGTGTGTGAAAGTGTTACCAATAATTGTAAGGTTCTTAGTTCTTGTTTTCTTGAGAGATATAATTCAGCCCAGAGACAATTAGCGAAGCAAGCCAAGAGCTTATTAAAGGAAAATAAAGTACACACTAAAAGAGGAGGGGGGTGGTCCAGCTGGAAACAGCCTTGAGAGTTACATGTTGCCGTTTTTATTATCATAGATTTTAACAAAAAAATTTCCATCTCTGTCTTAAGTGGCCTTTGTCTTTGTTTAGTTTCCTGCTTCCAGGTAAATCTCTTTTTTTATCCTCACTGAGTTTCTGCCCAGGTCTGTGAGATGCTTCCTTACTGTCAGCTGATTGTTCCAGCGATCAATGAGTTAATGGCAGCATTGCTTATTACCATCACCCCAGGAAAATCACATAGCATTCAAATCTGTACTTATTGTGCCTACATATCTCTTAGGAATTTTCCTTTTGCCCTTTCCCCCTTTTTATTAGCATGTAGCTAGCTACATCTTGACAGTTTAATCACAGTATGAGCAATTACTGGGTGTCTTAAGGGGTGTTTCCAGGTGTACTTTATTCATAGGCATTTCCACTCCTCTCTGTTCAAATTTAGCATACATGTTTTGGGTTGTCTTTGGAGCATGAGATTATTTCTCCCCCAGGAGCTCTTTTTTTCTGCTCATGTCTAACTGCCTGCTCTAAAATTTCCTCCTCAATAGATTGAGACTATAAATCTTTGAGTCTAGGGACACTGTGGGTCTTCTGTAACTACTTCCTGCTGATATAAAGAACTCATCAGTGTGTCATTATCTTGCTCTTTGTCAGAAACAGATTCCCTCAATGTTCTTCCAGAAAGTTCAACATGCAGTGTCCAGAGGAAAATGTGGAGGACCATCGTTGTCCAGAAGGGAGGAAAGTAGGCTGATATTCCTATTGCAGGACCGTTTGAAGACTGAGAGTTTCTAGGTGAGGGGAAACAAACCTAGTTACTGGATTTAGTGAGCAAGGCCCACAAAGAAAAAAGACAAAGACTAGGGATCCCCCAAAAATGAGATGTCATGAGAATTGGGACCAGGTGGCGCCCCAGGAGAACCAGCTCTAAGTGTCATGTTTCTGATGGTGACAGGCCTGGTTTATAAAATCTCTAATATGGTCCTGGACTTTCCCTACTTTGTTAACCTAGAAACAGCATTTTTCTCCTTGAGTAAGGCAAATTCTTTCCTGAGCTGCAGCTGGTGTGGCAAGACCTCTGTAGTTTGGAACTACAGCCATGAGATAATCAACTTGTTGCTGTCACTCTGATAAGTGATTTCTGTTTTGTGAGTCAGTACCCGAGACAGGTTGTGGTAAGTTGAGTAGGCAGTAATTATGCCAGCTATTCCTGTAGTGGCACTTGAGATGCCAAGAAAAAAAGAAGATAACCTGCTCAGTTGATCTGATGTTGTTGTACCCATGCGAGTCAAAGAATGCACCACATTCTGATTGAATTACGAGTCCTTTATTGAGCTGGCGACCAAGAGTGCTAACGCCCAAAATTCTCTCAGCCCTGAAGAAAAAGTTAGGTGGTCTTTTATACATTAGTTTTAACATGGAGGGGGAAGCTAGCTGAAGCAAATTTTTCACAAAAGCAGAGTAATCAAAAAGTTAAAAGATAAACTGATACATAAGAAATAAAACAGTGCCAGGTGCAAGGGGTAAAGCTGTCATGAAAGACATACTAGATAATGGGGGCTCTGGGCGCCAACTCAACCTGCATTTCCAGGCTCTGCTGGTACCACTTAACTTATCAACAAATGCATTCCTGGGTGCCCAGTGTCAGCCTGACCCAGCTTCATACTATAGTTACAACTTAATGGTGAGAAAATAACTAAAATGAAGAAGGCAAGATGGAGTCTATCTGGCTCAAGAAGCTAACATAAAACCTGGACAGCTTTTAGTCTGAGAAAGAGTTAGTGGTAAAGAGTAACAGTAAAGAAGCATCACCTGTGACAATGGAAGTTTTAGGGGTGAAGAGAGATATGCTTGCATTTCACATAGGAAGTTCTGTAGTCGATAAAAATGGATGCAGAAGGTGAGGTCAGTTCCAAGCATTGACCAGGGTCCTTGTTAGCTACCCAATATGTGAGATTCTGCCCCTAAAGCTACTGCTGCCTATGGAGGCAGACATGGGTCCTATTTTTCCTTTTAACATGGTCATGTGTCTGGTAGTATCAAGAAGGGTTTTCTGAAAGAAATTAAAGACTTGAAACCTTTTGCATAACTTATACTGGCTTGATTGATATGGGTTGAGTTGACTACCAAGAAGGGTGGCTGATGCAGAATTCAGTGGCATCATTTTGGATGAATGGTCCAGGAGTTAAAACATTTGGGAGAAGAATAGAAAATCTAATTTGACATTGAGAATATTTAGTGAAACAAAAAAGTTTGATAAGTATCAATAATGGTGCTTGTTATGTTGCATTGTGCTTGGTCAAAAGCACCCACAATTGTTCTGGAATTTACAGTAGCACAGAGGCATACAAGTGTCTAGCCAATGAGGGTAGCAGAGGAGAACAAGGGTCTTGAAACAATGAAGATGGGTTTAAGAAAATCTTTAAAGGCTGCTTTAGGTTGTGTTAAAAATATTTTGTTAGCAGGGAGAAGGTTTTGTATAGAGAGGTCCTGATGGCAGATGAGGCTAAGTTGGGCTAACAGGCTGAGGCGTAGGAACAATTGGTAGTTTACTAGTTGTTAAGTTGCTTGCAGAGTGCAAAAA